GAAAAACCTGTCTCCATGGGGGTGCCTTTTGGTGGCCTCCTCCGGTCTCCGGGCTCCCTGCCCTGCGCAGGACTTTCCAGGTTGATCTGTCATGTGGAAAGATGCAGAGTCTGGCCGTGGTGGGAGGAAAAATGCCCTGGAGGTTTTACAGGAACTGGGTGAAGAAAAATCCCTGGTTGAGAGCATCATAGTTCAGATCTTAGTGGGCGATGCAGCAGGAGGGAGCGTGTGACGCTTGCTGGGCTGTGCTGCAAGGGAATGGAGGAGGAGGTGGTGGCTCATAGGCAGGGGCGAAGAGCTGTCTCTCACCCATCCATAACTACCTCTTCCCTTGCAGGGTGGGTTTGCACGATGCTATGAAATGACAGACCTCTCCAGCAACAAAACCTACGCCGTGAAGGTCGTTCCTCACAGCCGGGTGGCTAAACCTCACCAGCGGGAAAAGGTGGGTGCTGTGGGGCTGGTGGGGTGCTGGCTGGCAGGGTGCAGCAGGGACCCTCTGCTCACTCGGGACCACTGCTCCCTTCCAGATCACCAATGAGATTGAGCTGCACCGGGACTTGCACCATAAGCATATTGTCAAGTTCTCCCACTACTTCGAGGACGCAGAGAGTATCTACATCTTCCTGGAGCACTGTAGTAGGAAGGTGAGTGCTGGTGTGGCCTTCGTGTCAAAGGATCTCCTAAACAGAGCTGTGGCTGGTTGGAGCAGGCCTTATCTGAGGTGTTTTGTTAGCACTCTCCTCCTGGGCCGCCTTGCTGCCTGCTCTGTCACACCCTCTGAGCTCAGCCATAACCCGTTTGGTTCCGCATGGGTGCTGGGGACACCACCGGCTGCCTGTCCTGCTTGGTCTGCCTGCTCATGTTGGCAGCCTGTAGCTCCTTGTGGGGCCACCGTAAGTCCAGCGGTTCCCCTGGCTGTGCTGAGCAATCTCAACCTCGTGTGGGGAGTCTGCTGAGGTCATGGCTGTGGAAGAAGGATTATTTGTGGATGTGCAACTTCTGGAAGAACTGGCTTTGACCCTGCCTGCCCCTTGCCTAGTCAGCAGGCCTGCCTGTTCTCCCTGCCTGCCATCACCAAGCTGCCTTCTCTCCCTCTGCAGTCCTTGGCCCACATCTGGAAGGCCCGCCATACTCTGCTGGAGCCCGAAGTGCGCTATTACCTCAAACAGATCATCTCAGGCTTGAAATACCTTCACCTCAAGGGCATCCTGCACAGAGACCTCAAGCTCGGTGAGTGCTGTGGTTGGGGCAGGGAGCTGTGTGGGGAGCGAGCTGCCCCAGAGGGACTTGTGGTGACGCGTTGCCCTTGACTTGCAGGCAACTTCTTCATCAATGAAAACATGGAGCTGAAAGTGGGGGACTTTGGTCTAGCTGCTTGCCAGGATATCTCTGACCAGAAGAAAAAGTAAGTCTGAGGTTTCCCTATTCCAGAGCCCTCTGAGGTTTCCACTCTTCCTCTTCCTCCTCCGGCTTCCTGGGAGGATGGAGGGGTGGTGAGGGCTCCCTCCTGGCCTGGGGAAGGGAAGCCTTAGGGCCCCTTCCTGGGGTGGGGAAGCGATTCCTGCCCCAGCTGCAGGCGAGGCGAGGGGACGGGGGCCTTTGTGGTTCCTTCAGGAGTGAGCTCGCAGCCGTCCAGGGGGAGAACAATGTGCTGACTATCGCTATTGTGCCTGCCCGGCTGCCCTGCCGGCTGCACAGGCTGGGACACAAAGGCTCTGTTCCTCCCCAGCTCTAGGACAAACTCTTCCCAACGGCTCCCCAGGAGCAGCTGCTCCTGACCCTCGGGAGCTGGAGAAGAATTTTTTTTTAGTCTGTATGGAGCTCCTTGTAGATGGAGGGGGACTTTGGACCACAAAGAGCAAAATGGACTCGGGGCGGGAGCACAGGCTGCAAGCTCAGTCCCAGGGCTTGGAGAGGGTTGGGGGAGGAGGTTGTGATGGGATGCAGAGCATGCACTGACCTGGTGCTCTGCCCCACAGGACGATATGTGGGACCCCCAACTACCTGGCCCCAGAAGTGCTGCTGAGGCAGGGCCACGGGCCGGAGTCGGATGTGTGGTCCCTGGGCTGTGTCATGTAAGTGTGTGCCGCTGGTTTGGGGAGGGGTCCGGGCAAGCCCTTCCTGTGCTGGGGCGGGGGGAGAGCCGGGCTGTGGAGCAGCCCTGATGAGGAAGTCCTCTTACGCTTTGCCTTGTGGCTTTGCAGGGGTTGCCGAAAGGCAGGGGGAGGGGAGCGAGTGGCCGCATCCTGCCCAGCCCCTCTTTGGCGCGATGCTGCTGGCTATCCCCGGGATGCTGCTCCGGGGTTTGCATGAGTGGGAGCCGCGAGGGGCAGGCGCTCTCGTGCCACCCTTGGCTCTGGTTCAAAGCGTGCTCAACCGCCCCGTGAACCTGATAAACAACGGAAAAGCTCAGTGGCTGGTGGCAGCTGCTGCTCTGTTTGTTTTGGGGAGCGATCGCTGTGCTGCTTCGGCACATCCAGCCCTTCACCTGGCCGCTGCCCGTGAGCTTCCTGCTCCGCTTTCCGCCCCGGCGGCCACGCAGGGGTTGTGGCGGTGGTGGCAGAGTGTGGCCTCTGCCTTCCAGCCCTCTCCCCTTCCCCAGGGCTCCTTGTTTTGTTGCTCTAAACAGTTGCTAGGAGGAAGCGTGGCCGGATGTGTGTGTGGCCACCTGGGCTGGAAGTGGTGCTCCTGGCCAGGTGTGGCCGGCCAAATGCCAATAACTTCCTTGCTTTAAGTGCTGCTGAGTCATAAGCCTGGTGGGGATGTGACGGTGGCACATGTGTACCCTCCCAGGTACACCCTGCTGTGTGGGAACCCTCCCTTTGAGACCTCCGACCTCAAGGAGACCTACAGGTGCATCAAGCAGGTGGAGTACACCCTCCCTGCCTTCCTCTCCTTGCCTGCCAAGCACCTCATTGCCGGCATCCTCAGACGCAACCCCCAGGACCGCCTCACCCTCGAGGAGATCTTGGACCATGAGTTCTTCAAGGTGAGTCAGCGGGGGTCTGGCCTTGACCCTTGTCTGGGGGGGATGAGGCTTTTAGGGCTGTGCAGGGTGCTGTCCTTGGAGCCCAAGTCTCAGTCCTTCAAAGGAAGCAGCTGCTGTCCTGCCCAAATGCCAGCCAGGGGAACTGAGGGATCTGGTGTGCTCCTGCTGCCTTGTCCCCACAGCACGGGCTGTTTCCCGTACTGATGCCAGTCATGGGGCCAGGGTTTGACGGAAATGCAAGCTGGCTGTCAGGAGGGCTGCGAGTGACTGCGGTCAGCCCAGGGCAGCTGCTCTGCCTGAAGCATGTGGGCAATGGAAACCAAACCTCTGCCTTGACCTCTCTGCAGGGCTACACGCCTGAGAAGCTCCCTCCCAGCAGCTGTGTGATGGCTCCAGAGCTGAGTCCCCCCAACCCAGCAAAGAGTCTGTTTGCTAAAGTCACCAAGACACTTTTTGGGAAGAAAAAACCCAAGGGTGAGTTCATGCACTTGCGCAGGAGCCTCTGGGTCACCCTTCCTGCAGGGAGAAGTGGGTCCCATCTCCTGAAGAGACCCCCTGATGTGTCTCCCTCGGCCCTCTGCCCAGGGCCAGCACAAGCTGGTGCTGGTGGCCTGGCATGGGTGTGCGCCTGGAGAGCGGATGCTGTGCCGCAACCCCCGGAGGCAGTTCCTCCTGGAAGCCCTGTGTTGCATGAGAACTGGGAAGTGAAAGTGGGAGGCAGCTGCCTGACACCATCCCCTCCACCGTGGGCATGGGAACAGACAAGGGAGAGCTGAGTTACTGGGAGGGGTGGCCCAGATGTCCCCATCCCCTGTGCTCAGTAGCGTGCTCATCGCTTGCTCTGCCTTCAGCCAAGAAGGGCTCTTCAGAGGACAAGGATGACATCTCCAAGCTGGTCACTGGGCTGATGAAGACCTCGATCTGTCGGCAGATGAGCTATAAAACCGTGGAAGGGAATGAGGTGAGAACATCCCTGAGCTCATGCCCACCCCTCTTTGGGGGAGCAGGCAGGACTGTGCTAAAACCAGGTCTTTCTGCAGGCCACCCCAGTATCATGCCGCAGCGCCAGCTCTAGCCCTGTGGAGACCGTGGTGGAAGAGACATCTCACAAGTCCGTGTCCCCCTCCATCCGGGGGACGATGGCCAGCAGCTGTGAGGGTGAGCAATACCTGCCCGGGCCACCCCAGCCTGCCCCAAGCTTCCTGTCCTGCCTTGGCTGATAGCGGGGCTGGCTGACTCAGCCTGTCATCTTCTCTCCACAGCCTTTGAAGACTGCATCACCGCCTCTGCCATCATCGGCTGTCTGGCTGCTGGGGACCTGCCTCTCCTCCATGCCCCCAGGTAAACTGGTCAGACTGCTCTGGGATGGGACAGGGCACTGTACATCCCCTTCCCTGTGAGATGAAGGCATGGCTGCTA